TAATCCCAGAATTTAGGAGGCTGAAGACAGGAGAATTGCTACAAGTCTGATCTGTGTAGCGAGAGCCTGTAGACCCTATACTAAAATACGAAAAGCAGTTGTGTCCAACGTCCTTGCCGTTGGCCGTGTGCCTCTGCCCAGCCTTTGCCCAGGCTTGGGGCCTCCATCCAGAGCAGCTGTGGGCATGGCTGTCTCTTCAGCCCACTCTGCATCCCCCCGCTTCCCTGCCCGCCCTTCCCTGCTGTCCCGGCCGCCATGGCTCTGTGGCCAGGTCTGGCTGGGTGCCAGGGTCTTCGTTATCCTGGCGGGTCTCTGGGAGAGGGCCTTTTGCCGACACTGCGCCCGGGTTCTGGCCTGGCAGGGATCTAGCTGCCTGGCTACAGGGAGGCCGGGGACACACGAAGCCCTCCCTGTTCACTGCGGAGCTGTGGCTGACACGGCCACCAGGCTGGACGCGGGGTTCATGGTGGCCGCAGGGACAGCCAGGCACACGCGGTATATTGTCGGGGCCACCTACCTGCTCTGAAAGCCCAGCCACGTGCTTGTCTGGCACCTAGAATGCAGCCCTTGGGGGTGCTGGGCCCTTGGTTCTGTCGGGGCCAAGGCCACCTGCCCCACTACCTTCCCGCACCTGCAGTTGGTGCTGGTCATGACCTTGCTTGCTGACCTTCTTTGGAGCTAGTCAGGGCGGACACACCAGCAGCTTGGGGTCCCGGGGGGGCCTTTGGCCTGTGCTGCTCTTCCCTCCTCCCCATCCCTCCACTGGAGCTGGCTTTGCTTGGAGAGCTCATGCAGGCCGCAGGCAAACAGAATAATGAATTTATTATGAAGCTGCGTGGCTCCGGGGATCACGTGGCTCCCTTGCTGCTGCTGCCACCTGGTCCTTCAGGCAGGGTGACCCCAGTCTTGTCAGGGCTGCAGGAGCCTGCTTCTTGGGCTGGGATCAGGTGGGGGGGGGGCTTCTATTTGTTCACAGACATTTCTACAGTCCTGAGGAGCAACCGGGAAGGCGGTTAGAGTGGCGCAGGCGGGCTGCCCTCTGGGCCCCCTTGAGGGGTGTAATTACGGGGGCTGCCAGGGGAGGGGCAGGTTGGTGCTTGATCCAGAATGGCAGCGGATTCATCCCAGCCATTAGCTGGTAATTACAGCGCAGGGCGGGGCGCAGCCTGAAGAGCAGGCCTGAAAGGAAGCAGTAATTATGAGATCTGCTGGGGGGGCTGGGGGCTCGGGCTCAGGCGCTCAGTCTGCCGTGTAATAAGGCTGTGCACCCCCCCCCCCGTGTCCAGTGTCGTGACAGTGGGGGGACTTGCCAGGTCCCTTCTGTGGGTCCAGGGACAAGGTGGCCTTGTGACAGTAACTCCTGCCTGGCTCAGACTGTTCCCCCTCACCTCATGGTGTGGTGCGGGGAGTGACCGTGTTAGTGGGGCAGAGAAGAGCAGAAGTGTCCACCAGGGCCAGTCCGGAAACGGACATGGTAGTCGCCAGTAGCCAGGCCAGGCTGCCGGGCACGGTGCCAGGTCGCAGTGTGAGCTCTGATGGGGATGTCTGTTTTTCTCTCCCTGCCCTCTGGCTCTGGGTGGGCTCAGAGAGCCCAGGGGGACACTCCCAGCCCTGATTTGGGGGTGCCCATGTGGAGGCCCTGTGCTGCCTATATAGGTGGTGCTTCCTTGGGGTGGGTGTGGGGGTGTCAGTGCAATTGCCCAGCTGCTGCCCTGGATTATATCTTACCTGGCCCTCACCCATTGTTGGCGTTGGCCTTTGAGAGCTGCCCTTGTCCCCAGCTGTTAGGATGAGTCCACTTGAGCAGATCACGCAGAAGGATCCTGGGGAGGCAAGATGGTGGGGGCGGGGGCACTGATTCACAGATAACCTAGAGGACAGGAGCAGCCTCCTGTGCCTGCTGCCCTGGGTCACCATCAACCCAGGAGACTGCCTGGTTGGGCAGCACCCCCCTACCCTTGGGGGCGTGGGACTCTTCCTGGGCTTCGAGGTTGGCCATCTGTCCTTGTGGGAGCTGTCCATGGGCTGCGGTCCCGGTCGTCCCAGCAGAGCAGGAGAAATGCTGATTTTAGCTTCCTCTTAGTGAAGCTGCACTCGATTCTGTTTCCAGTGGCCTGACACCGGAGGAGCAGCTTTCTGGGTGGAGAGTGCTGACAGCACCAGGCACAGGGAGGCTTGCTGGGCTGTCTCGATGCCTGCAGGAGTGTGGCAGTAAGCTTGAGATGTCCTTGGCCAGGGAGGGCACAGAGGGTGGTGCTGCCTTGGGACCCTGGCGCAGGAAGCTGCCGGGGCCTCCACTGTTGTGTGCAGCCCTGTCCTGGGGCCACGTGCCCCTGAGCTCCACCCACGGACCCGTTCAGTGCCATGACCTGGTGCCCTAGTAGCCAGTTGCAGCCTGCCTCAGGCTTCCAGAGTGGTGGGAGGGCACTGGGCGGGGACTGCATGGCTCCTTCCAGGCCTAGAGAGAGGGGCAAGGGTCCATGGCACCAAGTCCCTGTCTCCTGTGCACGCACCAGGGCTTGGCCACCCCTAGGGACTGGGACAGCATCACACCCCTGGGCCTGTCCTGGACCCCAGTCACTGTCTCCACCCAGGAGGTTGGGGTGCGGCAGGCTGGAGGCCACTTGGGCTTCTGGGCAGGGGAGGGGGGAAGGTGAAGGGTAGTTAGGTTGTGTGGATTGAGCTGACCTATACTTGGTGGCCTCACCAGGGAGCTTTCTCCTGGCTCCTGGATGAGCCTCTCAGAGTGGTGACTCTCAGCACCTAATCCTGCAACCCTGCCACCCCGGAAGCCACGCTACACCGCTGCCCCACCTCTTTGGTGGAGGTTAGTGTAGCCAGATGCGGTGGCGCATACCTGTCACCCCCACACCCTGGGAGGCTAAGGCAGGAGGATCCGGTGTTTAAACCCTGCCTGGTTAACCAGGCGAGATCCTGTCTCAAGATAAAAAAGGTTCAGGATAGAGATCTGTAGAGGCCCTGGGTTCAACCCCTAGCACTGGAAAGAAAAGAGGCGCCAGACTTGGGAAAGGCTGCAAGACAGGCGGCGGCAGGGGTGCTCGTGGGCCCGTTGGAGTGAGGTGCGTCCTGCTGGGCATGGCCCTGGGCTGTGGGGAGCCGGGCCAGCCCTGAGGGCAGGAGCACCGCCTGCCTGTCCGGGTGCGCCATCAGGGCCCTGCAGCCTTCAGGTGGAGGGTCTGGTGGTCATTTGGTGCGGGGGGTGTCGTCTTCATCACTTTCATTCCACAGTCTGTGTCAGCAGCACGCAGTCACCCCCTTTCTTCCAGAGGACGTGGCCCACACGTGAAACGTCAGGCTCAGTCTCAGTCTCAGGTCCCTGAGATTGTCATCGATGCCTCATGTGGGCCACGTCCTCGTAAGACAACAACAGAAACTTTGCTTTTCATCATACTTGGGTGATACTTGAGTTAAGCTTGTGTGTCTCGCTCATCCTCCGTAGAGTGCTGTGCTCTGTCCGTGCGCCTGTTTTCCTACAGATGACTTCAGTTCGTCCTTGCTGGTGGCAGCATAGTACTCCGTTGTATAATACCAGATTTTCTTTCTCTGTTCATCTGTCGATGAGCTCGGCTGTCCTGAGTGACAGTTGTCTCCTCGGAGGATGACTCTGTCCCTGTCGTGTTGCCCCAGGCGCCTTGCTGGGACCCCAGGACCTGCTGGTTTATGCTGGTGCTAGTCCTCCAGGGTGTGGGGCTGTGTCCCCCCCCTTGGTGGTGTGTGTGCCAGCTGCTGGGCCTGCTCAGAGGGAGGGGCCGCTGGCAGGCTGGCTGTGGCTTCCAGGAGGGCATGTGCGCCAGAGCCGACCTTGAGGGTCTCACTGTGTGTCAGGCAGACTGGCCGCGGCTAAACCTGGGCTCCCCACAGGGTGACCCTGACAGGAAAAGCTACAGTTCCTGTGTTAGAGAGGAAGAAACTAGAAAGTGAGGCATGGAGGCAGAGTGCCCTCTATGGGGTCACCAGTGGACTCCTCCTAGCCTGATGGGGGCCCTGTGCCTCCGCCCACATGGGGACCAGGGAAGGTGTCCGAGTCCCGGGTGCAGGAGAGGTGTGCGGGTGAGCAGGTGCCTGCGCCTGCCCTGCCCTGCCGAGCCACTGAGGGAGGCTAGGGCTCCCTGGGCCTTGACCTGTGTCCACATGTCCTGCCACAGCTGGAGGCCAGCACCTCACTGTGCTGCCGTGGGGCCCGGTGCCAAGGACGCTCTGGCTGTGCCTGCCCTGCAGTTTTCTCCATTGCCCCTGAACCGCATGCTCTCTGCCTGGGATGATGGAGGCAGCAGGCAGGCCTGTGACATCTTGGTCTTGTGCTGTTGGGTCACCCGTGGGAGCCCTGCCTGCTGGCCTGCAGGGACCCTCTTGGGCCCTGGGCAAGCCCGGCTCTCCCGGAAGCTGGGTGGCATGAGTGTGCACCTCCCTCCGTCTGTGTGACTGCTCCGTCTCCGCTGTGGCTCATCTTAGTGTGTGCGGCCATGAGGTGGTAACAGCTCCAGAAGATGTGGTCTTGGGGACCTGGGAGGCTTGGGTGTGGGCAGTGGCCCCATCTTGTCCTTCTCCGCCCCTGGCCACATGGGTTGGGTTTACAGATTCTTTCTTCATCGTGGGTGGGTGGTCAGTGCCAGCCCCACTCTGGAGGTCTGTGTAGCTGTAGGGTGACACTGTGGCCGTCTGGCTGGGCTGCCAGTGTGGCCCTGCACTTTCCTGCAGTGTTTGTCCTGAGAATGCTGATTCTGAGCCCTGGGCTCCAGTGTCCCTCCTGGCACACCTTCCTCTGGGACCCTTCAGGAGACACCTGAGTACCCGCCGTGGTCTGTATGGCTCTGGCTCGCGCCACCTGGGTGCAGCCCCGTGGGTCCGGCTGGGCTCTGGGCACAGGCCTGTCCTCCGCGCTGCTGTGCCGCTTCCGCGCCCCACCTGCCTCCCTGCATGCTTGTGGCGCTGCGCCCTCCGCGCTCTGGGTGACCCTGGTTCTTCTCTTCCTGTTTCAGGCATGAGCCATGAGCCCAAGTCCCCTTCGCTAGGGATGCTTTCCACCGCGACCAGGACCACCGCCACCGTCAACCCCCTCACCCCCTCGCCACTCAATGGCGCCCTGGTGCCCAGTGGCAGCCCGGCCACCAGCAGCGCGCTGTCGGCCCAGGCCGCGCCGTCCTCCAGCTTTGCTGCCGCGCTGCGCAAGCTCGCCAAACAGGCGGAGGAGCCCAGAGGTAAGAGGCGCCGCAGCTGCTGCGCGTGGGGGCTCTGTGCCGCCCCGGCCCCACATCCCCCAGGAGTGCGGCAGGAAGCTGACCTGCGCCCACTGCACGCTCAAGAGGAAGCGCACTCCCTAACCCAGATCCCACCCTGCTTCGCTTTGCCTCTGTCTGCTCTCCCACACTCCAGAGGCTGCTGTGTGGGGGACACATGGGGTGCCAGCTGGGCTGACCCAACCCTGGAGCCCCATCTGCTGCTAGTGTGGCCCTCACCAGGAGCTGGTGGCCTCGATGAAGCTCTCTCTCTGCTTCCAGGTGGGACAGAGTGCAAGCCTGCTGCTGACTGCTTCCCTGTGGTTTTTCTTGTGTCAGTGAGGGACCCTGAGGTCCAAGCCGGGCCCCTGGTGTTGCTGTGGTTCTGAGTCCCAGAATCCTGCCTGCCCAGCCTGGCCTGGCCTGGCGCCCTTCCAGTCCTGATGGCTATGGTGGCCCTACGTGCTCTCAGGTGATGGCTATTAGGTCCTCAGTTTGTGGCTGAGCTACCGGGCCCTGTGGCTTCTGGCCAGGTCCCTTGTGTCCCCTCCCCTGGGCTTTGTGCTCAGGGGCAGGGAACAGAGGATTTGGGTGCCCCGGCAGCCTCTGCCTGCCACCTGCCTTGACCTGAGGACAGGGCTCAGCACCCCAGTCCCAGTTTCTTCAGCTCCTGTGGAGCGGGCAGGGTCCTGATCCAGGGCTGTTCTGCTTTCTCTGTCTGTCCCAGCTCCTGCTTGCTACCCAGCCTTCAGGGTGCAGAGGCCTGGGAAGGCCAGCGGGCCCGGGCTGTGCCGCTGGCTCCTCCTCAGGCAGCCAAGGAACAGTGGCTCCGAGGAGGTGGCATCCTGCCCTCACCTGGCCACAGGCGCCTGCTGTAGGGCTGAGGCTCGGAGGAACTGGAGCATGGGGCCTGTAAGGGGCAGGGCTGGTGTTGGCTCCTGGCCAGAGTACAGGGGACAGACAGGTCTGCACAGGTCCCCAAGTCCCGGGGGCGGCTGTGTGGCGGGGATCTCCCGTGTGGCAGGCAGCATAGACCTCTAGCTGGCATCAGAAGTGGGCACCAGGCAGCTGTGGTGCCAGAGGCCAGCGGGGCTCCCTTGTACCATTGCCTGGGTGCTGTGGTACCAGGGGATTGGTTGCAAAGAGGTAGGCGTGGCTGGTGGGGTCTTGCTCAGGATCTGAGGCTGACACTCGGCCCGGGGACTTCCTGGTGTCCCTAGGCAGAGCCTGAGGCTCAGTGACTGCTGGGGCGCCTGTGAGCAGCTCCAGTGGGCCTGGACCTCCGTCACTGGGAAGACCCGTCTTCTCCCCAGGCTCATCTCAGCCACATCTCCAACCCCACTCCTTGCCACCCTCCACCTCTCCTTTGTCACCCTGTTCTGTGAAATTGGTACACAGCTGAGCTCGCCAGGGCGCAGGTGGCAGCATGGAGGCAGAGCCCTCGGGGTGTAGGTGTGCCAGCTGGGGGTGCATGCGTGTGGCCAGCAGGGTATCCTGTGTCCCAGCCAGTGAGCCTTAGGAAGGGGGGACCCAGCCTTTCTGTGTTCACTGTTCTGGGGGTTAAATTCAGGACATGCTGAGCTACACCCCTCACTCTCCTCCCACACTTTGAGGACCCAAGTTGTTCAGCTGCCCTTGTAGCCCTCCTACGTCAGCCTCCCATCCCTATCTGGCTTGACATTTCATTCTTAAGTCGTTTTAGAGTTTGCACGTCATAACGTTCGCCTTGTAAGCCCATAGTGGAGTGGTCTTAGTGGACACAGAATGACACAGTGTGGCCCTCTATAACTCCAGAATGCCCCTCACCCTGCCTTGCCCAGGCAGCAACACCCCGTCTCCAGGTTCTGGGTCCACCTGACCCAGCTGTCTCACTAGGGCTGGTGCAGGGCACCATTCTGGGCCCCGCCCTCAGATGACGTGAGAGCTGACCGTCCCTGGCTGCAGCACAGGGTGGAGCCGGGGACCCACAGTTGGGTATCCCAGTGGCTTCCTGCACACAGGCCTGGGCCCAGAGTCCTCTCTGCTGCTTCGGTGGTCTGGCACATGCCGTATGCCCTCTTCTCTCAGCCCTCCCACCATGCCCGTGTCTGAGGCAGTGTCGTCGTTTTCTCCACGGCTTCTTTTCATGGCGTGAGGGTCCAGTTTAGAACTTCAGCTCAGACAGAGCATCCGCAGTGTCTCACTCTCTGCCCCGAGAGGAAGGATGTGGAGAACACTGGGGCTGCGCGCGCAGCGCCTGGCGTGCTGTGGGGCAGCTGTCTGCCGCTCTGGCTGGGACTTTTCTCAGGCACCAGGGCAGGCAGAGGTGGGGCCTGGCCCCTCACCCGGCTGACTGTAGTTCTGGCCACCGCCTGCTGCATGCTTGGTGTGTTCCTGTTGCTGCTACTTGTCCCTGGGGCGTGGGGGTGCCCTGGCTGCAGCAGCCATGTTCCATCCAGGTCTTGTGCCTGCCATGGCCTCTGGGCTTTTGTGTGCCCATCTTCTTGGTTTCCTGGGTGGTGCAGGGTACCTAAGTCCACACTGAACCTGTGGTGTCACTGGGAGCACTGGAGGGTGTGCCCTGGGCAGGCCAGGCCCCTGCTTGCCTGGGAGTGACCCTTCAATACACAGTTCTTGGCGCCAGAGCCCAGCCCTGGAGTCCCCCTTGGAAAGAGTGCCACCTGGCCTGGTGCCAGGCCTCGGGTGCCCCCGGAGCTCTGGGACCCTCCCATACCTTGAGCCACCAGCCTGGCCCACGGTGCCCACCCCAGGGCCTCCTGCAGTCCCTCCTTCCCCAGGGCCCCCGCAGAGTCCCAGCCACCCCCGTCTGTGCGTGACGGCGCCGGGCTGTGCCAGGCGAGGCTCAAGCTGTGTGGCAATCTGCTGTCTCCTCAGGGATGAGGCGCCCGTCTGCTGCGGGTGGAGCTGCAGCCTGGAGCCCACAGTGTTCTCAGCCTACGCGACACTGGGGCTGTGAGCCTCTCGGTCCTGGGGAAGTAGCCACGATAGGGTGGGGCATGGCTGTCCACACTGGCCCTTGCCACTCACAGGCATCTTGGGCTCCTGTGTGCCTGCCACAGGGGCTAGGGGACTGCGTGGATAGCTGCGTGGCCCACGGGAAATGGTGGCTGCCCTGACTGCTGGCACTGTTGCCACCTGTAGACCAGTAGTCACACCCTTTACAGCTTTGCGGGCGCTGTGGACACAGAGCTCATGCGTGTAGTCCCGGAGGTGGGTGCTGTGCACCAGCGTCTGCCCAATCCCTGCAGCGGCATCTGCTGGCTGCCTGCCCCGTTTTGTTGTGCACAGGCTTTGCAGGTGAGGGGGCTGGCAGGTTCAGTTACCGCCAGGTCCCTGGTGCTTGAAACTGAGATCTTGGCTCAGGCGCAGAGGCTGGGTGGGTCCTGCATACTCGGGCAAGGTGTCACTGCCAGTTGGGCCTGGCAGGACCATTCTGCCACTGCCCACCTTGGAAATCCACCTTTTTCAAAACAACAGCACACATGGGGGCATCCAGCTGGCACGGCTACCTTGTGCGTGTCACCGTGTGGTGGGTGGGGCGCAGGTGTCTCCTGGTCCTGTCTGGAGGCCCATCTGTCCTTCTGCCCAGGTATGAGCTTGACAGGCATCTGGGCATTTCTGTCCTCAGCCTGGGATGTGGGAGGCAGTGGACCCAGAAGCGGGGACACTGGAAAGCAGTGTGGACCTAGCAAGCACCAGGGCCTGCCCAGGGCAACACACGGAGGCCGTCCCAGCGCCCCCCCACGGCATCACTGCCTCCTGGTTGTCCTGCCCTTGGCAGCTCTTCCCTCCTTGCCCCGTGAGCCCCCACTGCGTGGTGTCAGCCCAGCCTTTGCCCTGGCTCCTGAGGGCCAGCCGGGGCTCTGCACTTGGTGTGGCTGCTCTTGCTCTTCAGTCAGTGGCAGGTGGCCTTGGGAACGTGTCCTGGACAGCTGGCCCTGGCTGTGTAGGTGCAGGACGCTAGCTCGGCCCTTGTTCCTGCCTCCCTAAGCCGGCTGCTGTGCACTGAACGGCTCTGGCCCAGGTAGCCAGGTGGTGGGGCCAGATCCGACCAAGCAGCATATGGCAGCTACCATGCTCCATGTTGGCCAGAGCTCTCCAAGCCTGCAGGTTGTGACAGACGGTGACCTTGGCGCCACACTGCCCGTCTGTCCTTGCTGTGCCCAGGCCTGTGGGACTCTCGAGGGCTTTCCCCACCCCATCCTCATCAGCCCTGATGCCATGTGCTGTGCCTCTCAGGGCTCTTTGCTGACTGGCGTATCCTTGGGCCACTGTCACGCACCATTCCACCTTGCGGGAAAAGGAGGCTGGGCCAGGCCTGGGGCAATTGCTTCTGTCCTGCTGGTCACTTACTCCCTGACCAGTGGCATCCTGCAGCTGCAGGGGCCTTCTTCTCACCCAGCACAACATCCACCCTGAGCCAGGAGAACTCAGCCTGGGGACCTGAGGCGGGAGGTGGACCCAGGACGGCCTGAGAGGGCCTGTGGGCTGGGTGAGCTCTGTCCTCCACCTCTGTGTGCTCTACCCGCTGTGCTGGAGACAAGTCAGACGGTTGGATCTGGTGCAAAAGAGACTTGATGGGCTCTCCCCTCGGAGAACAGGCTGGGCACCCCGGGCCCTCACCAGCCCTGGTACCAGCACCTTGCTGGGCAAGAGCCTGTGGCTAGGCTATCCATTGGTCTGACCCCACTGTGGCACGCGGTGTGGGGTCCAGCCTCCCTTCTGGGAAGTCTGTCAGAGGCTGGGCAGGCTCCAGGGTGCAGAGGGTCCTGCCCGAGTCCCAGCCCAGTGGAGTCCAGGTGTCGGCTGCGGTGCCCAGGCCTGTGGGGCCGACCAGGCAGCACCTGTCTGCTGCTGCTGGGCCCCATTGTGGCCCCACGGCCTGGCAGAGCATGCAGTTGGCGCGCGGTGATGTTGACCTGGTGGCTTAAGCATGCGTCTAGGGGAGCTGGCAGTGCTGCTGGAACCACGCTGCTCCGTGCGTCCCGTCCCACTCTGCTCCTGGGCTGACTTCCGGGCCTCAGCTGTTAATCATGGGTGCTGGCAGGCCCAGCACTAATCTGTGAGGTCGGACGGCAGAGGTGAGGGACACCTCTGCTGCTTGTCATCAGCAATCCACTCCGACTCGTTGACTAAGTCCTGGCTGAATACTGCCAGTTAATTACAGGGATCGCGAACCTTCCTGCTCCAGCTGAGCGCTGAGGAGGAGGGCCAGGCGCCGAGCAAGCGCCAGCCTTGCTAATGGGCAGCACGCTGTCAGGCCATCGATCGCTGCTGCTCGAGTCTGAGGAGCTCCCCACACACACACCAGGGATCAGGCCGCTAATTGGCAGTGGCCTCCCTCCTCTGGCCCCTGCTTGGCTCCTGGGGTGCCAGGGAGGTGCACACGAAGCCATGGGGTATCAGCCTGGCCTGGCAGCCTCACCAGCCCCTGGCAGGCAGGGCTGGGGCTACGCAAAGCTGGGGATAGGGTCCCCTGGGAGCCTTGAGCCCACTCAGCCTTCTAGCCCAGGGCGCTAGTGTGCAGTTTTGCTCCTTTCCAGTCCTAGGGCGCGAATACCTACACCCTTCCCCCAACCCCTGCACAGAGGCAGGGACCCTGGCCTTGCTGGGCAGCGGTGGCTGCCAGGTGCCACCATCTTCCCAGAGTGTCCCGGGGTCAAGGCACAGGGGAGCAGAGTGCTCTTAAGGGGCTGCCTAGCCACAAGTGGGATAGAGGCCTCACGGCCACGCCACAGCTGGGCATAGCTTGTGTGGTTCAGGCCCAGGGACTCAGTGAGGGGTCACCCGTGAGCATGGGCCTTCCTGGGCCATGGCAGTGCCCCACAGTGGAGCAGACGGGACGAGGCACTTTTCTGGGGTTTTTTTCGTTGTTGTTTAAGAAAAGGTTTTATCCTTATTAGTATCGTTAAAACAAACAAAACAAAAAAACCCACCCTACAGAGATTCTCCCCAGCCAGCTGCAGAGCTGGCCCGAGGTCACGCTCTCGGGCTTCCCGCAGCCATAACTCTGCCCCCCAGCGGCACGGGTCTGGATTTAAACCAGTCTCTGGGCTTCCGTCTTTCTTTTTTTTTTTTTTTCTTTTCAAAGTTTTATTGATAGCTTCCGTCTTTCTGATGGAAGCAGTCAGCATCGCACTGTGTGCAATGGTTCCTGGGTCTCTAGGCTTAGTGTGACTGAGCTCTGGCCCCTTCCTGCAACTGAGGGCTGTGGGGGCCTTGCGGGCATGGCTGCGATGACCTCCATCTCCGGCCTGGGCGTGGTGTGTACAGACCTGGGCCGGGCGCAGCTGGTTGGGCCGATGAGTGTGTTCTGCAGCTGATGGCTCCTCCTTTGGTCCCTGAGACTGGCCCGTGTGGCCTTGGAGGTTCTTAGGGTGTGGACGGCTGTGTGCACCAGGCTGATGCCTCAGGGGTCTGGGAGTGTGAACGGGGTGCTGTGGAAGCTCACACTTACCATGCTGCCAGACCACTGGAGTTGGGTGGAGCAAGCCGCCCACCAGCCGAGGGTACATTGTGAGAGAGAGGCTGGGCACCAAGACCCTGCTGGGGGAGGGCTGTCAGTGGGCATGGCCACCCGCTGCAGGATGCCCTGGCTCGCTGCCTCCTGCTCAGTGTGATAAAGCCACCTCTGCTCCAGCCTGTTGGCAAGAGTCTGCACACCAGGAGCCCAGCTGTCTGCTGCTGCTTTCTGGAGCAGAGAGGTCCTGGAAACGGGGGTGGTGTGGATGTATCAAGGCCTGGTGGCTTATGCTCGCAGGTGGGCTCGCTCCCAGGTCCTCCCCGGGCAGGTGTGCTCGCAGATGGGCTTGCTCCCAGGTCCTCCCCGGGCAGGTGTGCTTGCAGATGGGC